CTGAGCAAATTGTGAAGCCTGGAAGGAGTTCACGAATCCATGGGAGAATGGGCTGAACAAAATGGCAGAGGGGAAAAAGCGCAAATTTCGAGGCTTCCTGAGGCTTCGTCTTTCATTTACTTAATGGACACAGCAAAGGAAATGGCAATGTGTAATGATAGAAATTGCGCCCAAACCTGAATCCAGGTCTGTTACATTTGCACAATGTAACGTTCAAAATTGCGCCGTCACGAGTAATCTATTAGACAGCCCGTAACTGAAATATTTATTTATTATTTTTATTCTATTTTGTGGGGTGGTCTGAAGAGGGGGTCCGTAGGGGTAGTCCGTGGACCGGTCCATAGGTAGTCCATGGACCCAGTCCATAGTAGGGGTCTGCTGACCGGGGATCAGTGTTTTCGGGTTACCTGTGTTTTAATGTTTAAGTGGAACTATTTATGTCACGTCGTCACTTTCCTCATTTGCATAAAATAAAAACATAAATATCTCTAAAATGAAAAAAAGATATTTCAAAAAGAAAAATGCTATTCTTCTTTATTTTGAAAAGCCTTTCAAATAAGCAGCAATTATCTTTTACTTCATGGGCACTTTAAACAAAACCCCACAAAGATCCTCTGAGATGATAACCAACAGCACCTTAAAAGATCCTCAAAGGTCCTACAAGATATTACAAGATCTGAATTAGGATCCTAAAATACTTTGATTAAGATCTACAAATCTTCAAGATCTTTAAGGGTCATTAGAAGGTATTTGTTAACAAGCCACACTTCCTGTCTTGCAGGTATCATTGGAAAGTGGCATCTAGGGCTGCACTTGTCATCAAGCTCTGATTTCCACTTTCACCCTTTGAAGCAAGGTTTTCATCATTTTTATGGTCTTCCACTCAGCAACATAAAATATTGTGAGCCTCATGGCCGCAATCATGTAGGAATTTTTGTTTTAGGGTTAGAGCCAACTAACGTCCTCATTGCTGCTGCAGTTATTGGAATAACACTGTACATTTTCTACTCTGGTGGCTTATTAAGCAAGTGTGCTTTTGTTTCCCTCTTCACTATTATTTTGTTGATCTCCTTTGCAATGTCTGCTTGTCTTATGATGATGGCTCAATTTAACTGCTTTCTTATGAAAAACTATGAAGTTGTTGAGCAACCAGTTGTGTTGGAAAACTTGACAATGAGGTTCACAGATGAAGCAATCAACTTTATCAATACAAACAAAGACAGCCCCTTCCTGTTGTACATGTCATTTGCCAAAGTGCACTCACCTCTCTTCACTACACTATTGTATGCCAATCACAGTGCTCATGGTCACTATGGAGATAATGTTGAAGAAATGGATTGGAGTGTTGGTAAGATCATGGCTGCTGTTCAAGAACTGGGTCTGAAGGAAAACACATTTGTTTACTTCACATCTGACAATGGTCCTCATTTAGAAGATGTAAGCACTTCAGGAGAATACCATGGTGGCTGGAGTGGGATTCACAAAGGAGGTAAGGTGAACAGACAAGGTTTTGCAGACTATATGAATGAATGAATGATTGCTATGTTCAGTGAATGAATGTTTATGTTCACTGAAGCATTGCTAGCTCCCCTTCTCCTCCTTCGCACCCATTTTTTTTTTTCTTAGCTCTATTTCCCCAGGTCCTTTTTCTTCCTCCTCATCCATCTCCATTCCTCCTTGGGCGACTGTAATTTTGTAATTCTTTAAAAATCCTTTGCTGTCTTTCTGCCCTCTTCTGCCTTTTCTTCCTCCTCCTTCTCCTGCTGCTGGTGGCCTCATGGTTAGTGCACTCGTCTCCGGATCAAGCGGTCCGGGTTTGAGCCCTGGCTAAGGATATTGCGTCGTTTTCTTGAGCAAGACACAACTCTCACAGTGCCTCTCTCTCCAGTGCCTCTCTCTCTGTATAACTGGGTGCCGGTGAATCTAATGCTGGTGAGTAACCCTGGGATAGACTAGCATCCCATCCATGTGGGGAGTAGAAAATTTATACTCCTAGTCTCTTCATGCCACAGAAACAGGGATAAGCTCTCACCTGATGGGCCACTTGACTCGTATACAGACTTTACCTTCACCTTTTCCTTCTCCTCTTATATATTCCTCATCCTCCTTCTTAGTTTTTTTCTTCTCTTACTTCTCTTCCTTTTTGTACTATCTAGCCAATAGTCTAAGGCTAAGTAACCTCTTCAGTCTTGGAGGGTTGTTTGGTTTCATATATAAGAGAAAAAAACCAGTCACACAATTCTTCATGATTTTGTATTCTTGTGGGATTTGTAAAGCGCTGTTCGAGGATCCACTGTAGCCCTGACAGCTTATTTGATGTATTTCACATGAAAAATTGTATCTTCTCTTTCTATCCAGTTTCTCCCTTGTGCTTATGTGATAGGAAACTAACAGACGGATATTAAACGTACATGTAAGGTTTTGTGACGATTCTTTAGGAGAGGTAAGGAGAATTTGTCTGGAAAGGCCATTAAAGGCTAAACCACTTGTGTTATTTGCTTATTACAGGCAAAGGACAGTGTTGGGATGGTGGTGTTAGGATGCCTACAATAGTATCATGGCCGGGTCACATTCCAGCTGGTACCTCCCTAGATGAGCTCACCAGTAGCATGGACGTGTTACCCACAATAGCTAAACTAACTGGTGCAGATCTTCCTGAGGACAGAGTCATCGATGGAAAAAATCTCTTACCACTGTTGACTGACAAGAGACAAGAAGCTCCTCATGAATTTCTTTTCCATTATTGTGGAAATCAGGTCCATGCTGTCCGTTATCGGCCAAAGAACACTGACACTGTCTGGAAGGCGCATTTTATGACACCAAAATGGACTGAAGGAACTGAAAGCTGTGTCGGGAAAGCCATAGTTTGTAGATGTCATGGGGATAGGGTCAAAGTCCAAGATCCTCCTCTTCTTTATGACGTAACAAATGATCCTTCAGAAAGCTCTCCTATTACTGCAGATAGGCCAGAGTACAAAGAAGTGATGAAACATATTTCCCCTGCGCTGATAACCCACAAAGAAAGCATTAAACTTGTCCCTAGTCAACTGGGAAGAAAGAACTTCTTTCATCCCCAGTTACAAATGTGTTGTAACTTTCCCTTCTGCCGCTGTAAGGAAGCTGGCGGAAAACTTGAGCATTATTTTCAATAAGCACTAGGCTTGCTCGTTGAGCGGATAAGCTGAATCAAATTCTGTGCTGTGATTACCTTGCCCGCTTGTTATTACGCGCTGTGTCCTACACGAAAATTTGTTCAGTCTTCAAATAAGTCCTTTAGTGACCAAGCTTGTTCGGTCAAGATACAGTGTATGGTTATTGACCAAGCGTGAGGTCAAGATTCACAAGATGGCTGGATATTGGCCAAATTCTGCTTTTGCGTGTTTATGGACCTCGACTCCGTCTCGGTCCGTAAACACGCAAATGAACAAGAAAACAAAACAAAACAGACAACAACAACAAAAAAAACAAACAAACAAACAAAACCAGGCCAATATCAAGCTACGTCATGCGCGATTGGTCCACACACGACCCGTTACGCGGCTAAAAATGAGAATCCTAAGTTATTATTTTAGAAATTCTTTAGCCTTAATTCCAGAGTTTCGATAGAAACACAGAACTAGCACGAGTTGTTGACGTAATGATGGCGCAAGCAAAGAGAATTTACATTTTGATGATCAAAGTAAACAAGTTGTTTCCCTTTTTTTCGTCGCGGTGTATTCTGAAAGAAACAGAAAACATTTTCTCCGTGTTTCTAAGGAGTTTTAGTATAAATCTACTAGCGTTCTATCACGAATGCTGTTCTTTGGTTAGCTACGCTACTCACTTTCTGTTCTGTGATAGATAGTGAGTAGCGTAGCAGTGTGCGGTTTTTGCCAAAATGACGGCCGCTTCTTTGCGTTTTCGAAGTGTCTGTGAAGAGGACTTGGATAAAAGTTTTGAACGACCAGTAGATTTATACTAAAACAATAAGATTATTCGCTCTCGATTTCTATGCGTGATGGTTGACGACGGTGCAGCCGTCGTCAACTATCACGCGATATCTCGAGCTCATAATCTTATTGTTTAATAGAAACCCTCGTGAAAGTTTGGGAGAACTCGAAAAAGCTGTGGAAAAACTCGCCTACGGCTCGGGTTCCCTCAGCATTTCTCGTTCTCCCAAACTTCTACTCGTGTTTCTATTCAACAATTAGATTATGAGCTCGAGATTTCTATCATGCATAGAAATCGAGAGCGAGAAATCGAGACCTGCAGGATACGGTTTTGACATCTTAAACGCCATTGTCTAAGAGCCATTGAGCATAAAATTTGAAACAGGTTCTTATTTGGAAAATAAGTTGCAGTGTGTTCAGTATAAAGAAGTGGATGTAGAGAAGGATATGACGATGTGTATTGTATTTCCTTAAAATGTAGTCTAACTCTTTAGACACAATTATATATTCCTCAGAAAGTGACCACACACATTGGGAAAGGCAGAATAAGAACCTATTTGAGAATCAGTCTAAATTCTCAGTAGACACCCCACATGTAAGAACCTTTTTGGGCAAGCCTGGAAAAATCTACGTTCTTTAAAGGGGGTGTTCACTATAACTGAAAATAAATGCTGACTAGACATCAAGAAGGTAACTCCCTGTCTGTTTTCGGGTTTATTCTGTTTCACAGTCCCATAACCCCTTGAAAATGTTCTTTTAGTAGGGTGTTTAATGTTTACTGTCAAGAAACTTGGTTCCAATTAAGTAAGTAATTTAGATCCTAATAAGTCTAGAGATACCAAGCATGTACAACGGCTTGTTTAGTCGAAAGAAGATCACAGTTATCCGTGACCTGTTTTCCTGAAAGGTTAAAAATTTTAATTGAAACTGAAATACGAGCATCGAGAGCTGATTCTGAGATATGTCAGGGTAACCTGGTAAAATGAAAATAATAGCTTTTCGTTGCTTAAGCAGTCAAAGAAGAAAGAGTTTTGGAATCACGAAAGTTGTAGCGCCCTCGTCATTTGTTATATTTCCGTAAAAATGGCCTGGTTACCTTATCGGAGTTTCCTTGTGTTCGCAATTACACAAGTGTCTGCTAAAAGCCCTGGAGAAAATCATTCGCTGCAATCGGTAAGCTCATTCGATGAATGTCTTTACGTTAAATGAGTGTGCTCCATCTGTAAACTGCACAACGTACAGCTTACGTGAGAAAAAAGCGTGCGCGTTTTTAGTCCTTTGACCATGCTGCTTGATGAATACGTCATTCTGGGCGACGAGAAGAATGAATCCACGCAAAATAACCTTTTGCTAACTTTTACTCGGACCCGAGGGGGGTACTCTGCAAATCATTGGGTAATGGGTGTCCTGCGGGGATACTGATCATGAAACATTTACTGTAAACTTGACCATGATCAGCTTGATTTTGGAACCGTATTCTAGACCAGGGGCCCATTTCTCGAAAGCCCTAAAAGTTTTCGTACCCGGGAACCCGAAGCAAAATTTCAAACCTTATGATTACAGAGCTGTTTTATTCACATATTCTTAATATGAACAGGGTTCTCTTCATACAAGGAGTTTCAGGCGAATACACCTCTCGGTTTTTAGATCCAGATAAATTAAAATGGCTTTGCGGGCCCGAACGGTTTCCGGGGCCTTCGAGAACCGCGCTCCAGGCACCAAAAACCCTACCCTATCCCAAACAAGCTATTTTCCATGCAGAAACTTTATCACTATCGTAGTCCAACATACGCTAACTAAGGCAATTTCTTGCTAAGTCACTTTCGAGTTTCAATTTCTATTGTAGCACTTTGGCTACTCTTCCGGCAAATTAGGCCCTGCTCTAGATAAAAAATGTGTGATTTCTATGCCCTGTCCCAGACTAAACTGCCTCAGTGAAAAACCATACATACCCTTCACAGCGGCACATGCCCATATAGTTTATATATGCGAGTACTTCCCCCGTCCACCCCCCAGCCCCCCCTCCTCCGAGGTACTCTGACTAATTTCTCAGACTGATCAAGACTATACAATTCTCTTATGTTAATCATCTGGAAATTCAGTCCTTTCTACTACGATTTTAACTGATCACTGGCGTGATTCCCGTGGACATTGATACAACAGCTAGCAAGAACCCAGCTCGAGATATTAATATCTTTGGAATGCTTTGAGTTGAAGCCATTGTCGCATGTTCACCTTGAATTTCACCTCTTTCTCGTGCTTATCGTATTAAGCACGACACTGCATTTTGTTGTGAAAGCTCTGAAGATTTTCTCGATACATCATTGGGAGTTGGTTTAAACGTAATATTTTCTTTTTGCCCATTCTCAGGAACATGATACCTTGAGGGTTCCAAAAAGTATAGAAGCAGGCTTCAATCCATTAGGACTACAATCGGTAAGCTTAACAAACTTTTCAGCTTTTTGTTTTAATGCATATTTACTATAACAGGAAAAGGGGTTATCAGGGGTTGTAAGTTGTACAAAACACACTGGTTAAAGTGCTGTGCGTTTGAAACATCACAGTAACAGACGGTATACTCGCTGTTTAAGAATTCTGTGTATAACCATCCGAACCAGGGAGGTAAATGCGCAAACTAAGCAACTCGAGAACTTTCTATCTTTGTGGAACGTCGAAGTGATTATTGCAGTTTATCCTGACTTTATCTCTTTCTCTCCATTATCGTATCAAGAAGCAAATCATTCCGTTTTGACAGGCTTAATGGTTTCCTTATTAAAACTACTTTTGCGTTTTCTTTTGTTTGCGCCTGTGGCTTTTGTCGGTTTCTCCACAGAAACAAGACCTGTTGGTTGTGGAGAATACCAATTCAATTTGTCGTCCAGAGGTAATCGGCGTCCTTCGTTTTCAAGCAACGAAAAAGGTAAAATTTCTTCATTCAGTTTTCTATCGCCACGTGCATGGGTTTGGTTTAAGCTAAAGAGCAACTAGAAATAGAGCACTGACTATAACACAGCTGTTAGTGAACCATCCATGTAAAATTAACGTATATTTGTCTGGTAGCCACTTAAAATGGCTTATCGATCTACCGATTCACGTTGTTGTATTGCTCGAGAGAGCAGATATAACGATATTCCATATTCAAAGTCGGAATGGCCTGATAAGCATAACAAGTCTTTCTTTGCCCAGGTCCAAATTTCTACAACTAAGCATGCTTTTCCGCATTGAGTGCCGCCTTAATTTGCAGAGCCGGGGAGATGCGTTACGTCTTTTTTGTGATTAGTTAGATCGAATTTAGTCAGTTCTTTTTCATGCACTAAAGAGATTTATTTAGGCATTTTCCCCTAAAATCTATGAGTGTAAAGAAATTCCGCCTACTCTAAAGGATTGACATTCCCTTGAAACTACAGGCTAAATTTGTTCGCGACTCAAACCTAAAACTAAACTTGGAACAAAGTTGGAACAGGGATTGGCACTTACAACAAAAACAAAACATAAAAAACAAGACAAAAATTATCAAGATAGTGGTGTTTATTTGGAGACCACATTTTGGAAGGTAAGGTAAGGTTCAGTCTGCGTACGAGCCACGTGGCCCGTCAGCCCAGAGCGTATTCCGGTTTTTGTAGCATGAAGCGACTAGCAGTATTTTACTCCCCCCTGCTGGATGGGATGCTGGTCTATCGCAGGCTTACCCGCAGCATTAAATTCGCCAGTACTCATTTATACACTTTGGTAAAGACAGGCACTGTGAAAGTAAAGTGCCTTGCCCAAGAACTCACCACATTGACCCCAGCTCAGCTAAGGCACGTTACGGAGTCGAGCGCGCTAACTATGAAAGAGAAGTGTTTACTGTATTCTTTACGTTGAAGTAAATTCCATACAGAACCTTTCCTGTCAATTGGGCCTTCTTTCATTCTTGTATGCTTAAAGACACTCAGAACTTGGCCTCCTCCATTTCATAAATTATAAATTTTTCGATAGCTCTTGGAAGTCTGTGATGGGTCACAGTGGTTATTTACTACCATGGAAGTACCTCAGGAATCGTACGGTACCCTGACCAATCCTGGGCAATCCTGCAAAGATATTCTGGAAAAGACCAAAACGTCTGTCGACAGCGGTATCTACTGGATTCAACTACCAGGTTAATTTGTTCAATTAGTACAGAAGAATTAATAATCATAACCAATTTTGTGTGAAGGGCATTGGTCCTCATAGGAAAGGCTAATTTCCAGCCATATTGACCGAGAACGCTTGGCCAATAAAGGGTTCAAAATAAGGCATACAAAGAAAGCCCTTTTCTTTCAGAAAGCAAGATTGCTCCTCTCTAACCCACTCGGGTAGCCAATCGCACGGCAGGATTTGGTTCATCATGCTCGCTCCCGCTCACGTTGATAACGGCAAAGAAATGACACATTAGAGAGCAAATTAAGCAAAAAGAAAAAGGTCTGGTCCACCACTGATATCAAGCTTATATCATGTTAGTTCTTTCATCCTTCAAGAATTACACGTGAGAACTCTCTCTTAAGAGATATTGAAACAGGACCAACAGGACAGACATTTGCAATAATAGCTAGGTTACAAAATACACTTTGAAAAGATATCAATACGCCTTTGAGTATTTTACTGTTCTAACATGTAATTTAGACAATATATCTAGATGTATATCGGTTGTTGATAACTCTAAACAATTTTTTTTTACTCTTTAGGTGATAGTTCAAGTTTCGCTGTATACTGCGACATGAAATCTGGAGGTGATCGATCTTCAATTTTAAAATGATAAAAAATAAAAAAAGTCGTAAATTTAACGCAAATGTGGCCCCCTTCACACTACACCGGAGGAATTTGAAAACGGAGGGTTTACTCTGAAAGCGCAACAAACGTTTTCCCCCCATATTACTCCGGAGAAATTTGAAAACCAAGCAATTTTCTTACGTAATTTTGGATTTGTGATTGAGGAAAACTCGGGCAGGGAACTCACATGATTATCGTGACGCCACCGTTTTTGAAAAGCTCCGTCTTCAAAATGATTTGCATCCACAAGAAAACGAAAAGCCGGTAATTTCAAATTCCTCCGGTTTGAAGAGCGTTTTCGAAAAGCTCCGTTTTGTCACGGATTAGTGTGGACGGTCGGCCTAACCGCAGAACTAAAGCTGCATTTTCAAATTTCTCCGGCGTAGTGTGGATGTTGCTTAAGATTTTGTATATTTATTCTTTTTGTTTTGTTTTGTTTTGTTTTTTTGTTCCCTTTTTTCCTTTGTTATCACTGTAATCAATATTTAGATCCCTTTCTCAGTCAAATCGTAAAAAGGCAAATTGTCTTCGAGGATATTTTTCTCAGTTCCTGCAAAATCAGGATCGCGAACTTCGACAATAATAAAAGAAAGACTGACCATAAAATCATGTCTGTTTTTATATAAATATTTTTTTAATTCAGCTTGACTTTACACTGCACATTCTCTTTGCCCTGTTCAGGTTGGACATTAGTGTTTAAAGCAGTGACCGGAGTTAACTCCATACCCGCCGATCTTTGGTTTGCATCATTTTCAACGAATGAGGACGAACAAAGGGCTTTACACCCCTCCAACAACTTCAAACAGAATTACAAGAACCGAATCGTTTTGAAGTGGCACAGTTTTGCCCCATCAGAAGTAAGTTTCCGCAAAATGTTCCCATTTTTTATTCTCTTGGGAGAATTTTTGAAATTAACATTCTTTGCCGCTAGGAACAACAAACCCTTCAATTGTATGCTCTATTGCTTGAGTTCAGCGTCGTATCGATGGATCTAATAATGTTGTGGCATAATATATCTTCTTCTTCTTCTTCTTCTTCTTCTTCTTCTTCTTCTTCTTTTTCTTCTTCACTTCCTCTCACTTTACGCATTTTCCACTTCCTTCTTCTGTTACTGCTCCTTCTCCTCCTCCTTCTGCCCGCCTCTGTCTCCTAATCCTAGGCCTCCTTCTCCTCCTCCTAAATTCTCTCCCCCTCCTTCTGATCCTGTTCATCCAACTCGCGTTCTCCTTCTCAACTCCTATTCACCCTCTTCCTTCTCCATTACCGCCCTGTGTTAAACAGACGTAGATTGTAAATGAAAGTTTTTTGTTGGAGCTTTTGTTGCTGATTTGGCTAACCATCTCTTTTTTCTTTACTCCAGGCTCGAGTAGTCTTGTACAAAGACGTTGCAGCTCTACTGCAGATTACTTTCAATGCCATCAACAGTGATAATTCCAACTGGTTTTCCATGTCTCGCCTAACTGACTCTCCATGGACAGACCTGGCGAGTGAGTCGAAGGCAGTTTTTGCCATCCGTAAGTGGACCAGACGCAGAGAGCGTCGCTCCTTCCATATCAGCAAAACGTTTGATGCCTGCGGTGAAGACGAGGGATGGCTGGCTGTGACGGATCCGACTTCGTGTACTTGGGAGCAACGCAAAGGTCGTGGAACCGTTGTGTACAGCAATACACATCATTACACCAACTGGAACTCGCCTAGTAAACCGGGTAAGATCTGATCGCGGCAACACCTTGTGGTAAAAATTCGTTTACGACACCTAGTTGTGTGATATGAGTTAACAGTTTAGATTCAATTGAACTAATCTATGAATTCTTTTGACAGAACACATTGGTGTAGCGGACGTCTTGGCCGTCTTTGTGCGTTGAGGTAATCCAAAAGTCAGGATATATAAACAGGCTAGTACTATGTTATGGAATCGTCCGAGCATCAAGAGAGTTGTTAAGTGAGATTAACGGGTTACTTGAAATGTTTTCGGGAATTCTAACGACCTCCTTCACTTGACATTTTGGACAATAGATCGCTTCCTAGAAGACCCGAGAAGTTCAACTTCAGTGAATAAATAACTTATTTGCAACTTAAGAGGTATTGCCTACATGCTTTTCTAAATTTCACCAAGTGTGTTTTTTTATTATTATTATTATTTAGGTTTTCACCCTGCCTGGACGAAGACAGTTGAAGTTTTCCAAATTCAACGCTGAAGATTCCGTCGAACAAGACATGCTGCTGAACAGTATTGGTGTTTTGATAGTAATCATGTTAATCTTGCTCAACTAAGCTATAATATAAGTTACCTTTGCTAGGCAAAGGCCGGCCGATTTTTTAGAAACTTTCAAGAGTTTTTACCGACTCTCGCATGGATAGTCAGAAATTCAGGGAAAAAAAACATTTGAAACGATGCTAAATGGATTTGCCACTAAAATAAGCTACATTTTCCATTCGAATTCAGTATTTCTTGCCTAGAAAATAGCAATAAAGAGCATCAAAAGGAGTTTTACCCTCATCCCATCAAAAAAGTGAAAATCTTTGACACGGGTTAGGTTGAGCTAGTTATTTGTAGGCTGCATCGTTTCCTAAAATAAAACTGTTTTGTTATACAAGAACGTTGTAGTTTATTGCTTTGAGTCTTTAATTTGATTTGATTCCTAAGGGCCGATTTTTTCACATGGAACAATATTATAGTGTGCACAACAAGTCTACAAATTGAATTGTTTACTGGAAATAAAACCCACCAAAAAAAACAAATTCCTTGCCAGATCGTTGTGTTCGAAAACGAATAATTTTCTGCGGTTTTGAAGCGAGATTTAAAACCCTACAGCAACCTTAGCTTCAAATGTTATATAAAACCAAAAGTTTATAACGTATAAAAAGAACAGATGTGATGAAGGTTTTTGCAATTTTCACCTGACGCAAACAGAGCGCGCTACAAAACCAAAGACCCCTAAAGGCCAATTTTGACAACCGTTTTGTCACATACGACAAACCTACAATACGTCTTCGACATGACTTGCTTCGTGTAAATCAAACTCACATGATTACTCTTGTCGCAAACGACCCGAAAAATGGGGTACGATTTGCAACAACCGTTCGGCAATCGTACCGTCAGAGAACGCGTGACAAAAGTGCCACTTTGGCAGCTGCCAGCGATGTATATATTAAAGTTGTATGCGAAAAGGCTGGACCGTCTCGTATCAAGAAATGGTCTATTGTAGCGGGTCCATTTTGGTGATTTAACATAAACAATAGCCCTTTTGTTAAACGTAAACAATAGGCCTTTTGTTATTAGAAGCGCCGAGTTCTTTTTCCGAAGCTTAGCGACAAAACTTGTGATCATCAGAAAAATTGCCGGCATGACCAATTAGCTACCTTAGGGGAGTGAGGACAGTAATTTTTGTTATCACAAGATCAATTTCCACCGGGGGAGCCCAAAGGGACACTTGACCGGCTGTATGAGTATCGGCCAGACTCTCACCAATAAAGTAAGAGCTTTAGGCCTATTCCAAACGTCGTGACTTAGGCACGACAGTTGCACAACGTATATTTTTGTAATCGGCTATTAAGGCGTGGCCCGCCTAGATTAGCCTTTCAGTGCTAGTTGCGCGCATGCGACTTGGCTTCAAACGGCGTGCTCTTGCAGGGCCGAACTGAATTCATAGCCTGTTATCAGCTGCCGTTGCTTTCTATCATTTAAAATGGTCTTCAGCAAGGCAAACTTCTTCCCATCTTCGGCGACTGAATTAAATTCGACGTTTGA